CCCTATCCCCCCCCTCCCCCCTAAACCCCCCCGGACGACGAGGTATTCCAAGACATGAACAAGCAGGAAGGGAGTTCCAAAAGCGAATATTCAGGGAGCATGAATAGACTAGTAGAAGAGGTGGAAAAACCCACATAAGTGGGGTTAAAAACCACGCTCGCTAGGACTGGGACTAGAGTGCAGCGCTTTAGACCAGTCGGCCACCCAGCATAAGGCATCCGCAACTGGTCTATGCCTCTGACGCAAAAGCCGCCACACTTCGCAACATTCAATTCCTCGATAGGCAATTACCAGAGTGGGCTCTGAAGCATTGTAGTCTCCCAATTGGTGCAAGACAGCCCTGCGGCGACGCCGTGTCAATAGTGGGGCCTTTGTAGCGGAATATGCCCGTCGGTAGGTACCCCTCTAAAGGCGGCCAGCCTCAGCGGCCATCCTCAGGGCTCAACGAAAGTTACGGCTAAGAGCTCTTTGTGTCGGCGACACTCAAAAACACATATGCACGCACTCAGGAAATGCGCACTAGCCAGCAAGTCCTCGGGAAAGAATATTTTCCCAGACCGCCAACCGCTGGGGAGCTGTCAAAGGAAAGAGGCGCAGCTGATTTGGCAAAGCCTCTAGGGGATAAATGCATATGCATTTGAGTGAAGTCTGTGCCAGCCACTGCTCAGCCGCCGCCCTGCCACGCCCGTTGATAACTAAGAAGGTTCCACGTCCGTCTGCCCTGCTGTTGCTTCTGGCTTTTACGTACTGCCCAAGGAAGTGCTCCGCAGCTCCAATACGCATTGCAGCAGCAATGTGGATATGGCTTGGACTGTAGATGCAGAAAGCAGCGTACACGAGCGGGTGCACATGCAGGCAAGCACCCGTGCCGGGGGTGCGGATCCGCTCCTGCAGAAGCTGCAGCTTCTTCATGTACGCACACTTTCCGTGCTGCTGTTGTGCAGATTGGATACGAGCATGCAGCAGCTGCACCTGCATGCTGAACGCTAGGGGGTTAAGCAGCAACGCGTCATACCGGCTCTGCAGCCGTAGCAGGTCGCACGGGCCTTCAACGTGGACGGTCTCGTCGCAGAGGGGTGGACGCTCAACTACTTCAGACGACGCCGTGGGAAGAGGAGACAAAAACTGAAGATCTGTAGGGGCACTCACATTGTCGCTTGGTGCTGTCTCTTTGTCGCCTGCTGACCGGCTGCCTCTGCCTGTTGGCGGCTGAAGATCTGACAGAAAGTGAGGGAGGACACCGTGAAAAGAAGCCAAAGATATGCGTGGGAGGCGCGAGCGTTCCTGCGGGGAGGAAGCTGTCGTGTTAACTAAGGGCCCCCGCCCACGGAGAGTTGAAATCTCTGGGAGTGCCGGAGATGGTGAGGGACGAAAGCACTGCAAATGTGGGGTTGGCAGAACGAGCCAATATGCTGGTCGTCTGAATAGTTTAGATCTGACGCTCTGCTCTGTCGCTCCCCGAACATCCGCTTGGACAAAGCACACTGCATTGCTGTCCGCGCCGCAAACATCCCTCGCTGCGTATCCTCCCGACCAACTCGTACAGCAGCTGTAGACCCCCGGAACTCTAAGAGCAGCAGGGAAGCTCCGAAATCTTGTAGGTCGAGTGCATGGAAGCAGTTGTCTCATTCCTGCTAGTCAGTTGTACACTCAGAAATTCATTAGCAATCGAACACAGTAATAAAGAGACACCCAGTGACTTCGGAGCAGAATTCACGACGGCACAAGCTCAATAATCTGCACAAAGCTCTATGGTTCAGGGCCAACTGCCTTCTTCCAGCGTAACACCACATAACGGTTAGATATGCAGGAGTTTAACTTTTCAGATAGGGGTGGAAATCGTCGGTGGGGATATGTGACAAGACAAGTACTGCGGGTTATTGCTTCAACTGCGGAAGACGACGATTTTCGAGGAAAATCCTGTTCATGGCTTCAATTCACAAGTGTTTACTTCTTCTGCAGACGCAAGAGGCAGCTTAGCACCGGCTAACCTCGGACATGCTCGCAGGACCAAAAGTTCATGCAGCACTCAAGGCAGCATTGAGGCCTTTTCCAGCAGCATTGGATGATTCAAAGTTTACAAAATCTGTGCAAATGATGGGTTTTAATTGTGTTCGAAAGCGAAATTGTTACGATCGACTCCTTTTTGTGCATGCGGTTTCGTCGGGGCTGCGGCTCACTCTCGTCGAGCGTATCCCTACCTGCGCGTTGCTGACCATCTGCTATATCCATCGATGAAAACTTCTGAATGGTTTTGAACGCAGTCAGGCACTAACAAAGACATTGCAGTGTCAGGGTGTAAGCTCGCGCTTAGCAGACACCCGCGTCGAGGACGAGCCAGTGGCTCTCCATCGAGGTCCAGCGACATGGGAATGCTTTGACAGCTTCTCTCCCTTGACTAGAAACGCTGGAAACGGGATAGCAGACTGGAATCGTTTTTTTATTCTGTTCTCATATAAGCTTCTCTACTGCACGGAGAAAGACTGTAGTGGCCAGCTCCCACCCTAGTTTGCGAGACAGCGCTTTCCGCGGACAGCGTCGTTGGATTTTCCATTGTAACCACACTTCCCGCAGCATAGAGTGTATATCTGTGCACATGTCTTGTAATGGCAATGTTATAGTGTCAGGCGTTTTTTAAGCATGCGGCAGAGACAAACACAAGGACTGAACGGACCCGGAGAAGCAGGCCTCATCTGTTGGACGAATCAGTTGTCTCACATTTACTCGCCCAGCCCATGGGGAACCGCCTGCACAGCACAACCAACAACGATGGTGAGGAGAAGCAAATAGACACTGTAGTGCAGACTTTTCATGCGTAGGTTCGAAAACCGGTTAGTTGCCTTCAACGCTGAAGCCAGGTTTGGGTTTTCTCGGACCCTCGAGATGAAACGGCGAATGTTCATGGAGTACGTAATGAGTTATGCACTAGCGAACCGCCATTTATGTCCCTGCAGAGTTGTAATCGTTGGTGCTGTCAAACAAATCCCCGTCTCTTCCACTCGTTTTTTGGATGGTGATAATTTTGCGGCATTATGGAGTCTCTAAGCAGCTCTCGGTTGTTTCAGATGGGCTTGTGCATCTGTTGTAGCATTGCTATTACACAGCCTTATATGTTCAGTAACTGTGGAGTCCGGCTGTGAATGCGTTCTTTCGAAGGAGGAGCCCTTGCCTTTCGCCCCGGCTTTCTCCAAGAGGGTTTCATTTGGCGTAATTCAAGGAGCCGGTCTAGAGGGCCTGAAAGGCCTCCGCCAATTGACGAGTCGTCAGAGGCTGTTTTACCACAGGTGAGTTTCTGTGCGGCAGCCGTGGAGCGCCATTCGTGTTCATCTCTATGTTAGATGCGTCTTAAGGAAAGAGATGGGGGAATAGGGGCCCGGAGCGGATAAAGGGATTTCGCAGTTATGCATCTGCTTCTGTTGCCCATCCGCCGGTCTCGTTACCTCTTTAGGGAGATGCAGTTTCGCAGGACTGGCGCTGGCTCGCCTTGCGGTGCGAACGGCGCCTTAATGCATCAATGCAGCAAAGGTCGGCGAAACCCGACAAGATCGCCGACACACTTGGTGCGTTGCCTTCCCCCGAGCTTCCTATCGCCTTAGCTGAGTACTGCTGCTTTGACGCGACGCGGTCGGTGCCTTGTGGCTGTCGTAGGCGTATGACAGTTATTCAGCACGCCTTGTTTGTCCTCTCCTTTTTTGTATGAAGGCCATTCACTGGATGTGAAGCAGTTTTCCTGCTTCGTGCCGAGGACTGTGCTGGAGGCCATTGCAGACAAGCGCATCAGGTTGGTTTCGACAGCCTGCTGCGGCTGTTGGGCGGCACGGCTGTTTGGAGTGAAGCTACACATTAATTTAGATGGGAGTAAACAGTTTACAACCCTTGAGCAAGGTACATTTAATGACGGACTGTGTGTTTTTTCTGCAGGTACTCGGATGACTTTGACGTGCAAGTTGAAACATTCACGGCAGCAGTTGTACGCCGCTTGTAAATTGCAGTATAGGGTCGCTTATTGTTGCTTGTGTGATGCCTGAAGTAGTGTAGATAGCAGATGGACAGTGCTCAGTTTTCAGCAGCCATACAACTTAGACATCCCAGACACTACCGGCTGCACCGGAGGCAACGCACTGCAGTCGCTCTGAACTGCAGCCTTTCCCTGCTTGCCCTTGTGATGATGCTCCTTCGCTGCAGGTATTCTGTGATGCAAGTGGTTTTACAGCACTAACGGAAGCCCTTGACACCCAGCCTAATGGGGCGGAACGACTTGGCGGTGTGGGTCGAGCTGTGTGTTCTACAGCGTGCAATTAAACTAGCATTACAGGCAGACGATGGGCCCATTTATGCTTTTTGCTGCGGTAAAGACGGTGGATACTGCTGCATGAGCATACCTATGAGAGTAGTGGCGATGTGTGTGTCCTTCAGATTATCAATAAGTTTTTTGACAAGATCATTCGCATTGTACATTTCTGGGGAGGGGACATCATCAAATTCAGCGGCGATGCTCTGACAGTTGTATGGCCGGTGGACGACGAAGAGGATGAGGATCGCCGTGAGGATACCATAGTTGACGGAGGTTGTGTATTTGTCGTTGGACAGATGGGCAGAGTTTGAATTTCTGATCCAAGAGCTTACACACGGTCATTTGAGATGCCGACATGCTGCTTCCGCATTGTTAAGTGCGTGTACATATTGTTTCCTTGTTTGCTTGTTCAGGTGAAGAGATAAACGGAGAAGATGACGCTGAATACCGCGTTGATGCGCGACAGGCGTGTCTTTTGGCAGCAAAGTGTTGTATGAACCTCCACCAGTCCTTGCACAAATATCCGACGGGTTTTGCTGGAAAGACGCTGACACTCCACATCGGTGCTGGCTTTGGGCGGGTCACTATTTTACAGGTCAGCCGCGCAGGTGGCCAATGGGCGGTCTTAGCTCATCTGTCTCCTCCCTTGAGGTTGGCGTGTTGCCTGTGGATGTAGTGTCACCTAAACCTACAGACTCCTGGACAGCCCAACCTTTGGTTAGCATGCACTTCTCCAGCAGGAACTGCTGCTGGCAGTATAAACTCGGGAGCCAAGGAGAGGACTCGGCGAGTGAGAGGACTTGGCTGCCGACGCCTGCTTTAGGGTGACAAGCTGGAAGATTGTATAGGTTCTGTGTTTCTGACGATGATTAGGTTGGAGGCATCATGGATAGATGGGAGTATGTGGTGGCAGGAGCACCTTTAGAAGAAATCTCCATTGCAGAGCCGTTAGCCAGCACAGGCAAGTTTTCCCCATAAGCGGGCAGAGCCCTTCGTTCTCCATATTTGCACCTTCTAAATGTGTTCGCAACTAGTTTTCTGCAACAAAATTTTGAGCGCCCGCTGTGTTTGGAATGTCTGATCCAGGCGAGACGGTCGTTTCGCCAACAATGGCAGATGCAATGCACGGCGTTGCAACGCTGGAACCTGTTAGGGACTCGCCCCCTGGGAGGCAGTTTTACCGGTTGTTGCCTCATGCCGATGACTTGGTGAAGATTTCCCACGAGCAACGACAGGGGACCCATCTCTGTGCAGAAGAGGAGGAGCAGAACGGCCCAATAGAGGAGGCGGAACTGGAACGAATTCACAAAATTGCCGACTGGAAGGTCGATCCTCCGCCTCCCCTCGCCCCTATCGAGGTTGACGCAGACGATGTTGACCTTATACGCAGGTAAGCAGACTTCCAAACACATCTCCTACATGCATAGTTTGGGTTCATGTTTCCGTGACCTACGCTGAAACCCGAAGACGTGTACTGAAGCAGAGGGTTGAGTTTCGTCAGTTTGGCCGTTTGTTGATGGGTTTCAGGTACATCCCACCTGCGGTCTTCAGACGGCTCAAGTCGGGTTGCAATGTGTTCCTGAATGAATTAAGGACGGTGAGGCTTGCGGTTGCAACTTTGACATGGAAACATAAGGTTTGGTAGTCAACGGAGCTTAAAGTTATTTTATGCACGTTCCGTACGTCTCACAGGTGTCGGTGATGTTCATTTGTGTGCGGGGGCTGGACGTTTCGTCATCCACTGGTAGCCAAGTGGCTCACAAGCTCATGAAAATGACCCAAAAAGCAGCATATACCATGGTACGATGAATAGCGGCAATTGAAGGTTGTTACCGAAATTCAACTGACAGCTTGCGTGGATACGATGTGCATCACGGTTGAACTCGAGAGCTGCCTTTGTGATTTATGTTGCGCCCGTTGACAGGAAGGGTCAGTGAACAAGTTCCTTGTGGACGACAAGGGGGTATTGCTGCTCGTAATGTTCGGGTTGCCGCCAGTGTATCATCTCGACGACCCTGTCCGCGGTGCGTAGTGTAGCGCTAAAGAAACAAAGCGTAGTCCTTCTGCGGGAAGGCCCAGGGCCCGAGAGAGTTCGTTGTCCCCTTCAGCTCACAGATGTGTTCGTGGCCTCCTGTTCCGACTGCTGTGCTTGCGTCGCACCTTTTTTCAGCCATCATGGCAGGGTTGCGTGTGATTGACGGCATGAAGATGTTTGGACTTGATGCTGGAATAGGCATCACCAGCGGTCGAGTCTGGTGTGGGGTACGCAAAGCCGATGGTAGTTTTGTATATCGGAACCCTGGAGACGGGCCTACGGTTTGGTGGGGCAGGGAGCCGCCAAGCCCGGCAGTGCATTGTGCTGTTGGTTTTGATCTGCAGACCGTCGGAAACGACTTGCGAAAGGAGTACACGGCGTTAGGGGACTTCGTCAACCTCGCGGCCAGGCTTATGGCGAAAGCGGGGCCCCGCGAAATATATGTGGATGCGTAAGACGAAGCAGATGCAGAGAGCTTTGAAGGAGCATCTGCTTGCTGCTTTTTCGGCTAGCCTTTACTGAGTCATTCCGGACGGGGGAGCAGCTAGTGGTGGACTGTGCGGTGTATTGAGGCCCAGTGCTTGCGGGGTTTGTGCGCACCAGCAACACCCACCGTTCGGCGCAGCATGCCATGGAATTCAAGCAACTGCCGAGCATGAAGGTCAAGGGGAAGGAGCATCCAATCGAAGTGTTCATGCCAACGGGAACGCTCATTAACAAGGTGCAAACCGGCCCGGAATTGGTAGGTTGGTGCCATACCCCTGAGTGGAACTGCTGCTGCACTCGCCAGTATGAGAGCCAGCATGAGACGTCAAGCGAGTATAGTTGAGGCGTCAGCCTTTGGGGGTAGTAGTTCCCGTAATTTAGTTCACTGATCTAGGTGTGGAGAGGTGGAGGATCCACAACGAGTCCTGTGTATTTCAGGGTCCCCTGCTGTCTTGGCCGGGGTGGCCATGCCGGAACCAGCTGCAGAGTATTCTAGAGCCATCTACGATGTATAAGAAACAGGGGAAGGCCGTTCGCCCCCCTTTGGACTACCCCGTGCCCTGTGGGCCTGTTTTCGCACACGAATGGTGAGGCCTAAAATCAGTAGTACCAGGGGGAGGACTATTCGCATGAAGCTCCGGCATTTTGCTGAGCTGAAGACGTGCTTTGCCTCGTGTAACCTCTATGCAAAAACCCATTTGGTGTACGATGGCACAGGTATGAGCCATACATGCCCCAGCTGCAACCTTTACTGGAAGTTGGCGGGGTGATGGTCATCAAGGGAAGGGAGGGCCTGGGGGCGAAGGAGCTGCAAGATTACATTCGTGATTTTGGTAGGTCTCCAGAATGTGCTTTGTACTCGGGGACGGACAATTATATCAGGTTGGCAGTTAGAGCCCCATAATTTGCTCGAGGCTAACCTATGCAGAGGTTAAACATAGCATCGTGCAACTTTTGCGAGTATTTGTTGTCTTTGGGCAGGCTCGAAGAAGTCAAATCGTCAGATGTTTTGTATCAGCAACATGCCGGATTCCCCCAACCTCAACATCGGCAATGTTCCTTTACTCGCATGGAGAAAACTCTGCACAGAAATGGTTGAAGTAAGTGTTTGAGCTGTGGGATTGCTCGTCGTCTTCACGTATAGCTTGGGACATCCTGTGGGCGGCAGGCACAGCGATCGCTGGTTGCACTTTTGCATTTGGTGGGCGTGTGCATACCCGCGCAGCGTTGGCGTAGCAGTGACAATCGAGAAAAAAAGGGTTATTCGCGTATTGACCGCGACAACTCAGTCTACGGCCTAACAAAGGAACTCATACATCCGTCGTTTCATTGGTATTTCCACGTTACTTGTGCCCCTCATAATCGCTTTCTTCAAACTGTACTATTGGCTGGGTAGAGTTTCTTCATGGAAAGCTTGTGGTTTTGTCCCTCAGGCGGCTGGAAGAGATGAAGCCTGTTGTACACGGTTTAATCCTGCCGCATGAGCTACCTGAAAATCAGCGCCTAGCAAAGGAGCGACGAAGGTGCATGAAACGACTCCGCAAGCAGGTGGGTGCTGTGGAGAAAGGCATCTAGTTATTCACCACTGTGACGGAGTTCAGGATATTTGTTTTTCTCCATTCAAGCGCTGCGTCGCAGTTGGCAGGGGCTTGGGAGACAATATACTTAGGCGCTTTGTATTCTGGAGATATTCGAGTTTTTGTCCTTCGTTGCGCCTCAGGGATATGTCCCCATGTCACCGACAATGGCCCTTTTGCACAGGCCCGCTGAGTGGGTGGAAGAAGCAGGGCGTCGGATCACCCCTGTGCAAGCACTGGTTAAGAATATTGGCGTGGACTTGGGCCTGGCTGAGGCAAATTCAGGCGCGTATTCCCCAACATTCGCCCACACCATGTCTAGATCTCACAAGGGGTCTTAATCTGCTGCAACAGTGCAGGGTCTCGAAATCAAGGCACTGAGAGAACGAGCCAATGCGGGGAATAACTTAGATTGCCGCACACATATCCAGATGGCTAAGTGCACGGTATTATTTCATGTTGGTTGGTTTGGGTACCAGCGCAGCAGCAATTCCCTAATAGCTGCAGCAGGTGAACCACTGTTTTCGCAGATGACAGCGAAGCATCTGATAGTGATGGCTCTACTCCACGGCATCTGTACGGGGTAAGTGCTCCTACTACAGTGCGGAAAGAACAGTGTCCGTGGACCTGTTACATGCTTTGTTGATAGTTTGTCCCTATGCTTCATTTTTTCTGTGCGAGCCGCTGTGTACTTGCAGCCCAGCGGCGAGTCAATTGCCCCAATAATAGCATCTCTCGTGAATGGATTTTCCCTGTTCGAGAGCTCCATCGTGGTTTTGCACGTTCGCACGGGCACAAGCGTGTTTGCTGAGGTCTGTCCGTATTTTCTTTAGAGAGAACAAGTGGAAGGTAACGAGCGCGCGTCCCCGGTACAACTCTGGCTAAATGGGCTTTGCTTGTTAGTGAGGGGACTTGCTGGTTGCGTGGTTGTTACTGTGTGCGTCCTAGATGGACAGTGACAGCTGGAGAGTAGCGCGCCTTGTAGCTCGGGTATCGCTTGTCCGTCGCCAACACAGACTGGATGATGACATGCGGAACCTGAAGGAGTGGCGATGCAAGCACTCACGCAAATGTTGGTGGTGTACGTATGCGAACGTTGCAATATCCATTAATGGAGGGCACCGTAATATGGGTCTTCACGCATCCATAGTATCGGGACATCCAACTCTGTACATCTTACATATTGGTGCTGTAGAGTTCAGTTTTCCAGCGTTGTCGATTTAGAGATTTTTGAGGGGGCAGGGAACTTAATTTAGTGACGTGTGACGGGGGAGTCTTTGGATGGTGACCAGAACTGTTGCAAGTTGCTGCAGTGCTTTTCTGTGAGCCTTGCAGGCAAAGGGTATCGCACAGCCACGGTGGTGGACAGCAGCGGGAAGGTTAACCCTGTGCATTCCACCAGTCTGTGCAAGCCTCTTCCCTCGCAATTCTACCAGCCGCTGGTTTTTGTTCTAATATGCAGGTGTGCCAACAGGCATGTCTGTTTATTATGTAGTATTTAAAATGCGCCTGCAACACATATTAATTGGTTCGCTGTTGGCTCACTATGAATTGCTTGTATGCAACGCGCAGTGACACAACCGACAATGTCCCCGAACAGCAGCAGCTTGTACAAATGGCAAAGGACAACAACGCATACATTGAGCTCCGTAAGCTAAGTAAACAACAGACTGTCTAGGAAGTTCCATTTTAAGAGAGAGGTCTTTGACTGGTTTGAGGTTTGCAGCACCGTGTTTTATTGTGTAAAGGTGGCTATCAGCTGAACTGCTGTTTCCAGGCTTCTGTGGCCTGCAGGCAAGCTTACTGAGGACGAGACTGCTAGCTTCTTGGCCCACTGCCTCCACATTAACCGCAAGTACTTGTCTGCCGAGTTCGTGCAGTATGTTCACCGTGTATCAGCAGGTGACCTTTGCAGCTAACGGGAAGCATTTAAAGTGTAGATATGCTATGACCAGGAGTGCAGGCCTTCGTGCTGCAGTGCCCCCAAGGTTCTTCTTAGTTGAGCCCTAATGTTCATGTTTCGATGTTCGCATGTTTGTTTCATCTTATTCACATGTTAGCTTGTCGAGTTGCTGTGGTTCGTAGGGATCCCCAAGTATATTTTCCTGACAGCGGAGCAACTGGTGCAGGACGGACACGTTGTACTGAAGGAGCGAAAACGAAAGACTCGTGGGGCTGATGAACTCCTTAGAGAAAACACGCGTAACTTCGAACTGCGGTACAGGCAGCTGCTACTGCAGCGCATGGGCAAGCAATACCAGAACCTCCAACAAGAATATGAAACCCCAAGGGAGAAGAGAATTTCCAAGCCTCAGGATGTCGCTCAGGATGGCATGCAGGTCTCATCGCCGTCCGACGATTCCAGCGATGAGGACGACACGGAGGTTCGTTATGTGGATGACGAAGTTATTGTGGCTGTCATTGGCCTTCTAAAGACTCTCAATAAGCAGCGTATTGATTTAGGCTTGGATCCAGACGAGGTCTTTATCCCTCCTTTGTCTCCCCATGGAGAACAGTGAGCACTGAAACATCTAACACTCCCTGTCTTAGATTTCTCCCTTTGTGTAGAAATCAGCCGTGGTGTTGCCTTGATGAACTCGCAAATTGCTAGCTACGCTTCCCCAGTCAGGTGCAATACCTTCATGCATTTGACTCCAGGAATTACTCTCTCTGTTGATTTTGCGGAATGCAGAGAGGACTGGAGAGCACAGGCTCAGTACGACGTGTTGTCGCCTTCCTGTATGCCGCCAGATGCAGCGGCTCTGGAGCTCATGCCTCCCCCCGCTTCTTCTCTTCTGAGCGCTGTATCTTTCTCGCTTGAAGGAGAAGCCAATGGGGAGCCAGTGCGCTCTCCATTCTACTTGGCTGAGTGTTTCCGGCGGCGACTGTTGGACTGGGGACCCAAGGAGCCAGCTAAGGCGAATGAACAGGACAGGTTCGATTCTAGGGACTCAGCGACTACCAACGATGACCAGCAGCACCCGAGACGCCTCCCCTCACGACGGAGGGGACGAAAGGCCAATGGTTTGGGGGGAGCATCTACGCACTGCCGCGTAGGATGGCAGGAGCAGCTGGCGCAGGAGGACAGTCGGAGGATCCGTCGGGGCAAGTTAACGGATGCCGAGTTCGCTCTTCTGTGTTTTAGACCCTCGTGGATGCCGTTGGAGTTTGAAGACCTCGCGGCATTACGCCGAAGCCGGCGCAGACGGGTGGCGCAAGCGAAAAACCTGGAGTGGGACAGTGATGCTGATGAGCCCATTGTGAAGCAGGGTGGTACAGATGACGACGGTGGTTGGGGAATCAAGCGTTACAGTGAAGCGCGCGTTGTGTCGGACTTGAACTCTCTACCTTTCGTTCCCCAACTCGTTGCAGACTGCATGTTCACAGTTGAACGGCTTCTGCCGGAAGAGCAGATGATGGCCAAAGTGGCTTCTGTGTTTCCTATAGCTTTCAGACCAACTGAACTCCGAATGGCGTACCCCCGCCGCATGTTGTCGAAAGACTTCTACAGCCTTGTCCATCAGCTCATAGTTAAGGATGTGCTGGAGGTTTGTGACCCTCCATCCCAAGAAGAACAAGAAGCCCTCAGTCATTTCGTTGGGGCCCCTGCACCTAAGACGGTTGCACAAAGCACGGCCACCACAGTGACCATCACGCCACCAGACGGAGCAGGCGGGTCAGCCCACGGCAAGTCTGCATCTTTGCTGGATGTACCAGGCGGCGGGGCTGGAGCACAAGTAGTGCACAGTACCACTATAGAGGACACCCCTTTTCCAGGGCTTGGCCCGGGACATGAACGCCGCCCCAGCGTTATGAAGGCAGGTGGCATTGTGACGCCAGCGAAGGTTGCGGCTGCCGGAAGTGAGAAGGGTTCCCAAGGCCAAGACAAGTCAGCGTCTGATTTTGTGACGGAGCAGCAGCAGAACTGTTTTGAGGCTGACGTCGCTGTAGGCAGTGCAACAGGCGAAGCCTGGAGCAGCGTTCTTACAACTCCAGAAGGAAAGGAGGTTCACATCCGTTTTACAAGTATAGCGCTGCAGAGGGTAAGTGGCTGCCTCACCAGGAAGCCGTGATTTATTGGGTGTGTTCACCATTCCTGTTCAATACAAAGCTAAATTACTACGTTCTGTACGTTTGCGCTGCGTTCAGGTTGTCTCAGATTTGCTGCTCTCAGACGAACGCAGCTGGCTTACCCTCGTTTGCCGGTAAGGCGACACGGCGTCCATGATGCCCCGCGGTGACAGTACTTTTCTCCGTAACGACCCAGCTATCGCTGTACCCAGTCTTCGACTTTGGAGCACGTCATTACTGATGGCTTTTTCATGCAGCTGCAGAATACCTGCAATTGAATAAGTTTGTTCATGGTTTTTGTCTGAGACATGCAACCTGCGTGTTGTGTTTTTGGCTATTTAGTCGGGCGCTGGCCCAGAGGTTCTCTACTACAACTGAATCAAAAGGCAAACAAAAGATGGCCAGGAGCAATACCTCAGGGGCCACCGTTGGAAATGAGCCTTCTGTTCACGAAGGTGTGCAAGAGATTCGGTGGCTGCTGTCGTGTCCTGGGCTGAGCAAGCTCAAGATGTGCTGCAGTACTAAATGTCTTTGGAATTACTCTAGTTCTATTTCTTGCCCATAGTGCCTGCGACATGCTGTAGGTTCATGGGTTGGTTGAAGATATTTGTAGTCACTTTGGAGTTTTCTGTGCGACCGTATGCAGGGCCTGATTCTGTGGACGTAATTCCTGAGTCCCTCTTACAGGGTGTGTTGGAGGCAGAGAGAGAGCAGCAGACACGAACAGGCGGACATAACTTGAAACTGCCAGTCATGTACCAATCAGACGATAAACGGAAAGAATCAGAGTCAGCAACCACTCCACCAGCAACCTGTGTCGAAGCGGGGCAAAGCGCCAAACTCGCAGACGGAGGGGCGCATGACTCAAAAGAAGTTGAAAGGGCACCTATTTAGTTCACTTGCAGCAGGTTTTTATGATTTAGCTTCACAGCACATTTCCTGCATTTTGACGGCTTTACCTGCTCCACAGATGAATGCATGTAAAACCCAAACGGTTGAGGTGGTCAGCGAACCTGACAACCACCAATGGTAGCACCTGAAGAGCCCGGCAATCCATTTAGGGTTCATGGGCTCTATTGAACTCCATCAAATTTGCTGCTTCGTAGGTGTCGTTATTGTTGTGCGTGCACGAGAACTGTCATCAATTTAGCAGGAGTGAATACAGACGAGCAGTAGAGATTTCGCGAATGTTCGGATGCCAAAATTCCGAGCTTGCGCAGGAGTTGTTGTAAGGAGCGCAAACAGTAGACGTCTTGCACTGGGTAGGGGGCTTTCGGGGCTCTATCTGTCTGCGTTCTACAATGCAACCATTTGGATGTTGTGCTGCCGGCCCTGCAAGCTTTGGTTGCCTCCACCGAGAAGGGATTCATTGACGAAGCCTTCTAACAGCATCATTTCATCATACAGATATATCTCCCCTGACTAACTTAGGCGGAAACTGGGAGCAGTGTGCATCACAGTATGTTGTTGAGAGGTCTTGTTGTTAGAGATAGACCGTTTTTGTTTTTTCTCACTTTAGGGGTAAACCTTTTTTTCTTCCAGGTTCTCCCAGATTTTGGCATATTTCCTTTTGGACATTTTCGCGATGCCTCTCTTTCGCACAGGTACTCACAGGTACTTCCCACAAGTGGGTTCTTGCAGTCGATGCATTTGCAGTTCTACATTACTTTCCAATAGGATGGTTTTGCTTTGACGTAAGTCTGCAGGGACACAAAATCATTCAGCGAGAATTGGTATCACTGCGCTACTCTACATCTGCTGGCACGTCCACAGGATTTTGCGCATCTGCTTGCACTTCGTCATCAGTATCAGGATTTCTACACATCTACAGGCACTTCCTTATCAGGACATCGCAGTAGTTTGTGCTTGCACTTTCACGAAATTGCCACTTTCGTGCTCGGTTAGCATATTGAATCCATCCCCTTGGTGGGGCCGTGGGAGATAGCACTATTTGCTGGGTCAGGGAGAGCCCTCCAGACTTTTCGTACACTGCTGAGCGTCGTGAGCAGTCGTGGCAGTGTATAGTGGCAACTCAGCTCTACTCCTACAGCGTATGGTGTTCCATTCCACGTTGACGACCAGCGGTTCTCTGCGCACACTCCTGTTGCACGGGGTTTTCCTGCTTGGCTCCAGATTTTTTTCTTATTGAAGGGACGATAGAACTGCTCCATTAATGCCGTAACTCTGCTACATCTTCGCTGCGCAAAAAACGAAGTGGCCTTCGGCGCCTCCGAGCAGCTAGCGGGCGTTCGCCCAACAGGTTGAACGAACGGAGTGCAGGAAGGAAGGAACTGCGCCTGTCTATGCTGGAAAGGCTTATTGTATGAGCAAATTAGTAAGTGGCAAATACATTAATATTCTACCAGTGCCTGAAAAACTGCGATTACCTTGCTTTCGGCCCCGCCATCAGCTCACTTGCCACATTTACTATGGTCGTCAGCAGTGGCTCGTTGGCGACTGTTAGGTGGGTGCAGTTTAATGACGTAACGATGGAGTTATATTCAAAGTCTTGAGTAGTCGAGTAAGATATAACTGATACAAAGGCTCCTTTTTCTGTCTTCCACTCCACCCTAACTCTCTGCAGCCCTCCAGTGTTTTTCTTAGCCAGCTCGATCGGTTGTAGTCGCCAAAGGGAAGGCCTACCTTGTAGCCAACCTTTTAGGCTACCTTGTAGGCTACCTTGTACTTTTCTGGCGAGTTGATAGGAGAAAACGTCCGAATTTTGTGCTACAATTCGTCTATATGCAACAGTTAAGCTGGCGACACTGTCCGTTCCGAAGTGCGAGGAACACAAAGACTCGTCCTCGCAGGCTCTGCGTGCAGTGAGCGCCATCAAGGCTCGCATCTCGAATCAGTGGTTAATGTCCCCATACCAGCTGAGTTTTCCTCCCCCACCGGGGTTTCATTTCAACGTTTTATATGCAAGGACTAAAAATAACCAAATTTCACGTCTTGTAGGCCGGTCTGGCCCAATGACTAGGTGGAATACCGGCGGATCTCCCCTTGCCCCGTCGTGGTCACCGAGACTTGCACTGCTCAACACAGAGAACACATAAAGGCTTAACCTCAACTGTCATCAGCTCTCTCTTAATTTTTTTCTTTGTTTCACTCATTTAACTCTGAATCTGGGACGACAAATCAATGCCGTCTCGGGTAGCAACCGTCGGCTGAGAATATATATAGCCGATTCCTTCCTCTGCTGCTCGAGAGCAAGGAATTCTTTTTCAGACAATGAGGATACCAGACAACAGCTTTTCTCGAACTGACTTCTCTGGGGTTGGTCGAAATGAGGGGACCCAGTTGCCGGAGGGGACCCAACATAATCCGCCGCCGGCAAAAACCTCCCTGTGCCCGCTGAGTGTGCAGGTAGGCATGGAGTTGGCATTTCTTGTTGCCCGTGTTCACAAAAGGAAACCAGATATCCCCTCAAGCGCTTTTCAGCCTGATAGGCCCACACTGCCCACTTGTGCGGCAGTTGCAGAAAGCGTATATTTGACGGCGAGCGACGAATACTTGTTACTTAGTTATCCCATTAAAGTCCAAGATTGCACTCTACTTCCGCAGCCTCCGAGATCCGTCGAGGACAGGGAATACATGACTCATTGTGGACCCCAAGAACCTGTAGGGATTGAGGGCAACTCCGCATGTGCGTTGAAACTGTCTAGGAGAGGAGTATCAGATGTAGAAAAGTTTATTCAAGGCAAGCTTGAAGCTGCTGCCCCTGCAACTCTGAGAGAAGACAAAAGCTGGCTGTGGATTCTTAGCGCTTACGGCTTATCCAAGCCCCCGGCGTCCCATGTAGTGGAGCAGCTGCTGCGCAAGGTGAGTGGCCGTCGCTCTTGGTTACCTGCGGGTGGCGTTCTTGCCGGAAAAGTTCAGCACTGAAACAGCTTAGAGCCGCAGTTGATGAGGCGCAGGGGAGGAACAAACTCTTCACTATTTGCAGCCTTATTTCGCATTCGTTGTTCAACTATGCTTCATTGTATCCGTTGCCGAGTTAGTCATCGCCTCCTTCCCCAGCCGTTCACTATGCTGTTATCCATACACATCTAGACATGTGGGCATCCCTGCAGTGTCATCGAACGTCCACAGATCGACTGTGTAACCTGTGTACTTGTGCTGTATCAGGCCCTTGAATCAACTCGACGGGTAGACCTGCTGCTGGATAGGCGGGAGGCGCTGCCGTCGCCGGCGTTCCTGCTAACTGCACTCTTGAAGGGGAGTACATACAGCTCCATAGTTGCTGTATCTGAAGAACAGAGTGAGCGACGTCACATCCCGCATCAACACGGTGAAGAGACTCTTCTAGTAAGAAGCAATTCCTCTCCAGTGAACTGCAACAGCAGTACATACAGTTGCGGCGCTACCGGCACGCTCGAGGCAGAGTCCCCAGTTGAGATGACACCCTCAGAAAACTTCGGCAACGACATTACTGGAAACGGAAACAGCAGTAGTAGCATAATTAACAGCAGCATCAGCAATATCAGCAGCGGCGCCGGCAGGAACAACGGCAGCAGCAACTATAGCACCCAGCCCCAACTGTCCGTGCAGGAAAAGGCAGAAGCCATCCTTTCTACAGATGCAGAAAAGTCGCTTTTGAATCTTGATCGCCTCTGTCAGTCTCCTTTTGGGCCGGACAAGGGGCAATCAGCCACCCCTGAGGTGACACCTCGAATGGGTACGGTAGTGGAGACGGCTGGCGCTGGAGAAGCGCAGGGTATTGGCGAGTTCCCTGCCTCAGAAGCGGAGTTTTCGTCTCTTAGTGGCAGTTTGGAACCTGGTGCCGATGATTCCTTGGGGGACCTGCGTGAACCTGTGCAAATGCCTCCCACTGCAGATGTTCTGGAAGACCCCTCTGAAGTGAAGGGTAACCTCTGTATTGCTGGTAGCTACCAATCCTGTAGAGGAGATTCCGCCCGGCAGACAGTGGAAAGTGGAGCCGCGTACGCGACTTCTGAGGAAAGAGCAGACGAGGCGGAGTCGTCGTTCTCTACGAATAAAAGAGGTCTACCAGCTGCCGCATCCCCCGTGATTACTGCGCCGCCTCAGCCAAACGTGATCTGGCAAACAGCAACAGCTGATGTGCGGAATAGAGCATTTGTTTCTTACGGGCAGTACCTATCCAGAAGGATAAAGGCACTCGACATGAGTGAGGAGCAGGTAATCGGTTTTCCTGGTCGTCGACGCCCTCCCCGCTTCAGCAGGCGTTGGGGCAAATCACACCAACTGTGCGGGAACACCCCTCAAGATGAAGAAGACAGGCGAGCAGGAACCGAAGGAGCAAGAGCTGAGGTGGAGTTCATTAGAGCCAACTACATGTCCCCTATAGTGCAGATATATCTTCGTGGATGTGCACACCGCGGATTTAGGATTCCTGGCATTGAAGATCTCCCACCTTGGCCTCCAACGCGAGAGCAAGTAATTGCTTTTTCTACTGCACAACGTCGTCAGCTGAGCACTTCACTGTGCAGTGCGGATCAAACTACAACCTCAGATATTGGGGGCTCCACAGAAGATGGTGCAGAAGCTGCAGCAACAAATGGTGCACCGAACGCTGGACCTGACAATGCAAAGCACAATGGGCAGGAACTCTTGGCAGACGGCACTATGCCCTGCGCTTCAGAAGATTTAGAAGGTCCTTCGCAACCTCTATCGGGAACGAATTCAGAAACAGCATCGGAAAGTAATTCAGAAACTGTATCAGAAACGGCATCGGAGACTGCGTCACGCTCGGACTTCGACGGGTCGGACTTCGATGGTTCATTGAAAGAGGAGTCAGAATCACCAGACAATGCTGCGGGCGACATCGCGGAGAGTGCACCCGACGTCACACCCGACTCTTTAGGAGACGCTGACGTTGCAGAAGACACTAAATTCAACGCCGCATCCGATGTTGCACCCGACGCTGCATCTGACGCTTTATCGGACGCTGCGTTCGGCTTTGCATCCGATGTGGCATCTGAAGATGAATCCGACGTGGCTTTCAGAGATGCATCCGCAGCTGAATCCTATGCTTCATCAGACGCTAAGTCAGACCCAGCGGAAGAAGCTGTGAGTGGAGTCACAGCAGCACACGCTGCAACTAACCAAGGAACAGGCATTGCGCAGGTGCCGGTAGTGCCCGGCGATGCATTGAGGGGTTTCTTCTCGGAGCAGTCGCTCCCTCCTGATAGTCCATTTATTTCACCTTTCCTAAATCCCTTTCACTTTTCGTTTGCCCCCCCGAGCAGCCGGTCTTTCCCATGGGAAGAAGATTCCCACAGCAACGGCTGCTGGGAGACCCCTTTAGACAGCATCTACATACAGCAGCAGCCATCGACGGCGGAGAGGGAGAAACAGGAGAGTCAAAAAGAGCAGGAACAGCAACAGAGCCTCTTACTTCAGGATCGAAGGCGATACCAGGAACGGCAGCAACGGGAAGAGCAGCAGCGAACTCTTTTCTTCGGTGGCATGTCCCAGCCGTTTTCCGGCTTCGCTGGCGAGAGCATCCATCAAACGCCTCAGTCAAAAGGTGCACAACAGTTCTCCAAGCACCAGCAGCATCAGCAGGCGCTTCTCCGCCCAGTTGAACACGGGACAGCAGCAAACAGCACACCTACAGTGCCTTACTTTCCGGCTGTTTCTGTCCCGCTCACAAGCGCGGGAGCTACGCGAGACAGGGAAGGCACCCCCCTCACACCAGATCTTTACCACACCAACAGCGGCGTGCATGGTGAGTAAATATGTGATGGGCAGGAAACAGGGGGAAGCAACGCAGAACTGTTGGAGGTCGCACAGTCATCTTATTTTAGCGTGATGCATTGTGTTGGTGCATATGCGAGGGTGCGGTGGGTTTGTCTTTTGTTTCATTTTGCAACATTTCTGCTGTTGCTCTGCTCTTAGAGATGGCCTTCTCGGGGGCGCACTCAAGCGACAAGCCTTTTTGGGGGCCTCAATCGCCGAAGGCCTGCTTTCAGCCTCACTGTTTTGCGCCTCCTGCAGATGAGCTTGTGGAGCCGTTGGATCCTTATTCCTTGCGCTTCCATGATGACCCCTTCTACAACTTGCAGAGCCCCAGGTACAAAGTAGAAGAGAGAGAGGGGAGCATGGCGGGAGACTGTTGGGATATTCCCCCGCTGCTGCAAGGCCCGGCGGCTCGCTGTGCTGCGGCTGTGTCAACGAGCGCAGGACACGTGGGCTTCCTTGACAAGCGTACGAAGGGGGACGTGGCCCCCCGTTCAAGCCAGTACCAGCGAGGAGGCTCAGTAGAACATCCAAGTTCTTCTGAGCCTATCCCTGCAGGCGCAGGCTCTGAAGAGCCTGAACAGATTTGCTTGGCGGAACCTGCTAGCTGCACCGGCACGGCGGGACCCAGGCAGGCAGCTGAACAGTGCGAAACCGGAAAGCCATTCCAAGAATATGCAGTGCAGCAGTGGATGCACAAGATTGACACCCAAATGGAAGGCCTTGAAAGGCTCATGCATCAGCTCTTGTGCACAATGGAAGTCATAACAGCCAAAGAATCCGGTCTGCGCTAAACAGGGAGCAGCAAGGAAAATTGTAGTTTTTATCTTCTTGGCTGTCGTGTGCAGTGTAGCCAGTGGTTCCGGTGTGTGTACATCCATCTCACCGAACATCAGCGAGCTGCACCTGAGTTTGTATGCCCCTTAACTGCTTCAATCGAAGGATTTCTTCACTAGCACCAGAATTTGCGATGCACCACCGCTCGCCTATGTTTGACAGCTCTCCTGAGGGGGCCAACCAATAAATTTGGATTCTGAGGCATACAGGGCCCTGATAAGCTTGCATGCACTAACTGTCGAACTTTGCGCTGAGTCATGTTGCCTTTTGACTCTACACAAACCCACCGCAATTGGGTATGCTTTACTTTATCACCTACTGGCCGTTCAGAGGATGCCAGATAGAGGCCAACTGCAGTTACGACTTACTGGAGTGGTGGCTGAGTGCAGTTAGTTATCTGTTGGCAACCACCCCTCGATCCGTAGAGTATGGAAAATCCGCATTGTGCTTGTACAACACATATTAAGCAAACACGTGTGTACGAGCAGGGGGATGTGCTCGTGCATTGCCAGAAGCCCCAGATACTTGGCTCCTGTTGTGCCGGGCAAATCATCACTGCGCTTAGTAACTCCTTGACACAATTGACACAATTCTACATGGGAAGCTGCTCCCTTCTCTCTTGCAGTCTCGTGGGACACTGCAGTTTAAGGCCTTTTTGGTTAAACTTGGCCTCAGGAATCAAAGCCTTAGCAATAGCCCCTTGCTAAAGAGTACTGCATGAATGCACAGAAGCAGCCTCCGAAAGACGCGTGTTGCCGAGAACCTTTGCTCTTTGTCTCTGTTTGGGATAATTATGCGGCCGTGCACGTGCGTGAGCAGTTGTAAACATCTGTATTTGTTGGGCCAAAGTAGCATGCAGATAACTTTGAGCAACGTCTAGCTTGTGAGCCACCGTAGACAGCTGCATCCCCCACAGTGCAGAATAGGCTTCGCAAGCAAGACATGCAGCTGTGCAATCAACCAGTTCAGTGATAGGGATTATAGATTCTTTGGCTATGCACAGCTTGTACCCGTTCTCTAGTCGCACTCTCCGCCGAGGCAACCGCCATCCCAGATCTAACCAACTGAAAGTATCTTGTCCCTTTCTTTCCGGATGACTATACAACACTCCTGAATATTCGATGAAAGCGCAGTATTGTTAGGCAGCAAAGATTGTGAGTAATTCAACCGTTCGCCGCCTCGACGCCCAGGCGCCTCCATCTTGCATCCTCTAGGAAGCATGTGGGAATATGAAGAAATACGTCATTAGTAACCAAAATAAACCTGACAAACTTATTTATGTTAGTAAACTATGATTGAATTTTGCGGCTGCAGGCAGAAGGTAGTACCGGCCGCGGTGCATGCGGTGCTCGGCTGCCTCGGTCGTGGAGGCGTTGAGACAACAGAAAAAGCTGAAATGGACTGTGAAGGGATTACGGTGCTTTCCAAGCCCTAAACGCTTTGGGTTTTTGGCGGTTTCGCCCGCTTCTCCACAGAGGCAAGGCGCGCCGTCATCAGCTCGCTGTTACAAATGCAGGCACTGCCCTCGCAGAAGGCTTGGAAGACACTCGTGCACACAGCAGCGCATACAAATGCCTTATGGTGTACGAACCGCTGCCAGCAGCCGCGCACAAAGAAGCTCCACTGTAGCTACTGCGACGGCAGCAACAAAAAGTGACGGCGGAAACACCCCAAGTATAGTTCTGGAGGGGCAAGCTCCCTTTTCCTGCAGTAAGCCTAATAACAGTTGCAGCACGAATACATGCGTGTATGTATGTTAGCGTGAATACTTGCAGTTCAGAGCACTGAGGCCCCCGATCGAGAAGAGAAAACAGCACTTTACGCTCGTCCACTAGCGACCAGCGATGTAATGGTTCTCCTGATACACCTTCGGACTTTGCAATATATTCATTCCCACGATATGCTGTGTTATTATGATGCGGCCTCAAGTATCTGATACGATGCGGGCTCATCCGCTTTCAAAGTGTGTGTGTTTGTTATTCGCCGTTTCAGGCTGCAGTTGGCAGCAGCGGCATGGCGCCTGATTGTGCGTGGAGTCCCTGTTCCCGCTGTCTTCTGCAACAGCGTTGTCTTGGCGAGCTCGAAACCTACAGCCTTGGTGTTGCTTAAGATGCTGCAAAGCCGTCTACTGTCGGTGGTTCCCTGACCACTTAGGTGGCGGAGACCCGCCCTCCTTCCTCCCGAGGGGCGCACCAGGCGGTGCGCTCGTCGGGGGTTCTGAATGATGCCACTGGCACGCGCTTCCAGGACCAGCAGCAAGGGAGGGCGCAGATGCCGACGCCGCAACAATAGCAGCACCAGCCAGAGCCCTAGCAGCAGCAGCAGTAGCAGCAACAGTAGTAGCAGCAGCAGCAGCGGTTGCCGGGGAGGTCCGGGCGATAAGAAGAAGGGCTCGAAGGTGCAGGGCAGTGGATTGTGTGGCAGTTCTTCGTCAGGTGTATTGACGGTCTCGCTGGCCTCCAAGAGCCGGTGGCCGTCTCGTTCATCTCAGCCACGGCCCAGCCACTGTCTGGACGCGTTGCTGAGAGAGAATGTGTTGCTAGCGGTGCTGCCTTTCTTAGAAGCAGCAGATGCCACGCGACTTGGAGCTTGTTGCACAGACCTTCATGCAGCTCTCACTACCCCAAGAGTACAGCCGCTCTGGCGCCGCTGGTTTGAGACAAGCGGATTCGTCTGGTGGCCCTATGGCGGCGCGTGCGGCAGCTCATGCAGCCTCAAGATAGACAGAGATGGATTCGTCCTGCGGCAGCGTCAAGGGCAGCAGGAGCTGGAGCAACAGTGGCAAGGGCAAGGGCACCAGCAGCAGCTGCATTTGCAGCTGCAACTAACGAGAGCAGAAACTAGGCCCGGAGCGGGTTATCGCCAATTCAGCCATGAGGGATGGTGCTGTCAGTTTCTGTGGAATGCGCGCTCGTTGCACAATTGGAAGACCGGCACGTGCGCTTTTGCTGCGTTGCATACAGACAGCCACAAACTCTGCATGGTGTCCATACACCCCAAAGGCGTGTATGCCTCCAGGGCCGAGGCCACCCCGCTTTCTCCCACTGCAGCACCGCTGCTGCAACGGACTATCGACTCGCCCGTAGCTGAAACACCGCGACAAGCTCGCCAAGACCAACAGCAGCAGCAACAGCCACACGACTCCTCCACTGCAGCACCGCTGCAGCAACAAGTTATCCAATTCCCCACAACTGAAACACCGGGGCAAACTCGCCAGGAGTCGCCCAATGCAGCACCGCCGCAGCAGCAATCTGAAACACCGCGGCAAGCTCGCCAACATCATCCTCTGCAGCAGCAACAGCAACAACCACAGCCACAGCAGCAGCCGCAGTTATCGAACATCATGTATGCTGCATCCCCCAACCGTTTAGCAGAGGCTGAGGCTTCATCACAGCCTTCAGTCCACTTCACTCCTGGGGTCGGGAGGTATGTGCGTGCTGTGTTGCATGCGAAACCGGCTGTGTTGACCGCAGCGGCGGACAGGGTCTTGTGCATCATTGACCCTCTCAAAAAGGGCCCCAGCGCCTCCAGCACCAGCTCGCCATTCAAGTGCGAGGGTGCACATGGCCACAGCAATTGCTGTTGCCACCGCGCCCCTAGGGGAACCCACGCTGTCTCTGTTTCCCCTGTCTCTGCTTACGCAGCGGCAGGCAGCATTTCCTCTTTGGCTTCTCTTGAACTTGAACTTGAGAGTCTTGTTAGCGGAGGCAGCGGAGGCCGTCGAGGCAGCGGCAGAGCCAGGAAGAACGGCGGCTCGCGCCATGCGGCTGCATCTGCAACAGCATCTGTTGCTGCAGCGGGAGTAGGGGAGGGCTTAGGAGATCACAGGAGGGCAAGCGGCGACGCAGGAGCAGCAGCAGCAACATCAGCATCGGCAGGTGAGGTGCGGGAAATATGTCGGTGCTGGCCACGTGGAGCGTGGCTGGGCTGCAGTGTGGATGCAGCTAGTGGCCTCATGGCTTGCAGCCACCGCTCCACAGAGGCAACTGGTAGTGCCGGCAGAGGCAGGCGAAAGAAAGGCAACAGTGGGAGTGGGGCGGCGGAGCCTTGCGAATATAAAGTCTTTGATCTGCTGCAAGAAACCGTAGGACTGCCTAGACATTAAATGCGAGTTGCAGTGGAACTCTTAACTGTTCCAGCTCGTCCAAAGGGCTGTCAAAATTGCACCGTATGCAGACTAGCGTCAAGGCTTAGGGTTGGATATTCGAGAACTAGTGTTTAGGACCTAGGTTTAAGGGTCAGTGTCTAGTGTTTCCGGCCTTGCGTTTGGGATGTCTTGCGCACAGGAGGTGGCGCAGTTGGCAATCGAAGGTCAGTTGGTGCACCGCCTAATTCTCAATTTCATTTTCTCTCAAAATCCCTCTCGCGCTTTTGGCTTCGACAGATGGCACAGGTACAGCTGGCGTTTGCTGCTGGTGCTGTTGTTGGTCTTACCGCTGTTGCTGCTGCTGTCGCCGCCCACGGGTTGGCGATGGCAGCATGCTTGTGTGCATTTGCTCGGATTGCTTCGGTTTTGTTTTCGCCCGACGCTTGACACTTCCGCTTGATTGTTTGTTCGTCTTGATAAGCTTACACAGTTTGCTCGTCTTGATAAGCTTGCACTGTATGAAGTAAAAGTTGTATATGGCATGCTGGGTGTTTAGTGCGCTAGATTATTTCCTAGTAAACAACCTTGTAGTCGCGTACTTATTTGTACTCTGTGAATCATAGTGCTGGGCAGCCTGTGCTTTGCCAAATACATATCTTCGAACTCTGTTTCGTGCGTTGCTGGCCAAAGAGAATTTTTTGTCTGGACGATCTCTAATGCGGTGCCTGGAGAGGCCTTAGAGACTTCCGCGATTGTGAACGCCCACACCGACGGGATATTGGGACTCGACGTCACGGAGACATACAGTTCCTTAAAGGTGCTTTAGACGATGCTCAGTTAGACTCATCACATTCGGAATATTTGCCGTTGTTTATTTGAATTGCATCACGACGACCAGCGGTTGAAGAACTGTAAATGCACTCGTTGGTTCAGCACCTACTACCAGAGTTTGGCGCTCTGCGAGACCTGCGCGTTCAGTGCCAGCGCTTCTGCTGTTGAGCTGTTGAGTTGCTGTTTCGTGCATGTTGAGTTGTAGTCATTTATTTGCTTCTTTTGTACGCCTATAACTCACACAGTGGCGTTTTCTCTGCAGGTTCTCTCGGGTAGTCGAGATGAGACGATTAGTTTGTACTCCGTAGATCCTCTCCTTCGCCTAGCCACTTTTACTGGGTAAGGCAGCGTCCTTACTAGGCGTAGAGCACGTGTAGATCTTTATTTTCATTTACATGCTAATTACATGCTTAGGTACGTATGCATGCGTACCTGTACATATGGACATATCCAACATTTTAAGGTTATTTCATAGCGTGCTGCTTTGCATCTGCGTCTGTACGTTTGCGTTCAGACACCAGGCGGAGGTATCGGCTGTCTGTTGGCTGCGCAACGGCGAGGCGGCGCCGTGCGGTCAACAGGGTCCCGGAGAGAACAGGGCCACGGGTGTGTATGCAGCTCCAGATGTATATGCAGCCGCAGGTGTATATACCGCAAAAGGTGTATATACAGATGAAGAAGTTCAACTGTTCGCATCAGGCGCCTACAATGGCACAATCAAAATATGGGACGCCAGACAGGCAGACCATAAAAGCCTTTCAGGTCCTCCTTGCTGCTGCATTTTTTCCTGCTGCTGCGGCTATTGCTTTTGCTGCCTTTGCCGCCTTCTGTGCTGCTAATACATCAGAGTAAATGCGCCCGGGGTGCTGCTATTGATTCTGAAGCAACTACAGCACCTGCTTCGCTTGACTAACTGGACTAGCGATTTCCTGCTGGTGCTTTTGCAGTGGTCACTGTATAAGGTATATTTTTGAGAGCGAGGTGTTTGTGCAGGCAACGGTTTGACGCTCTTAGAACACCAAAATAGAATTACGAGGCTCGCCACTTCCTGGGACGGCCGAATGCTGTTGTCCGGGGATTCAGAGGGTGTATTGAAGGAAAGCATTAAACCTGCTAGCTTTGGTTTCGTCTTCTCTGGACATCCTCTACTTAATATGCAGTGTCTTCGACTTATCTGCTAACTTTATAGTTTTTCTCTTGTCTGTGCGCTCAATCGTTCCGTTGGTTTGGAGCCCAAATCTACTCTATTCTACTCCCCTCATTTTCTGTGTTGCATTGTAATTTGCTCCTTCATTCTGTGTTCGTTCAATTCCTTCACCGCTCTTCTCGTTTGCAAGGCCCCGGTTGGACCTGTTCAATGTTGTTCACCGTCCTGGCGTGAGCACTGCACAAGAACTGTACTTTTTGCTCATGCGCATTTGAGCTGGAGAACGGAGGGCAGAATGCGTCTTTTCCGGTTGTTTTTCAGTTGTGGGATTTGAGGAAGTGCGCGGACTCCCTCTTGACGGCGAAGTACAATGGGGCCATCCTCGACCTCCACGCAAACCGCGCCTTTTGTGTAGTACGTAATGCGTCCGTTCCATATTCTTAGAATTAATTAAGCACTAATTCAGTCACAGAAGGATGGAACGCCTCGCCAACTCTACGTCTTCGCCTGTGCTGCGACTGCTACTTTTGCTGCTGCTATCAGGTCCGAACAAGTCCTCCCCGTGGTCGTGACACTTTGCATGTGTTGGACTTCTGCGGAAGGTCCTCGTGACTTTATAATTGTGGGGAGCTTTGATTACGCACACCCGCATATTTTGTTTTCAACGAGCAGAACTGATTTGTTTGGGGCATGTATGTGCATACACCCAGAAAGCATCACCCTCGAAGGGTGAACTGTTTCTGCTCTTCGTCACTGGGACCTGAAACACTAACTGCTATGAACAAACGGCTTTCTCTCTTTACGTAGCGGTGGTGCGTTAGCCTCCATTTGGAAATAGGCATTAATAGTAAGTTCATGTGTCTAGACAGGGTAGAAGGCGTCTACAGACGAAATGGAATGCAACAGTGCGGCTCTTTGCTGATTTCACAGCAAACAGCCAAATTCGGTTGTCTGGCGGTCCCCTCATTCCACGGACAACGAGACAGGAGGGTAGCCCTATAGTAGTGCTTACACTAATATTTCGGACGATTGCGTGTCTGTCCTTAGTCTTAGTCTGTATTATTATTGGTTTGATTGATTGATTCACAGTTTAATATACGCATTTATTCGGTCTTCTTTCACCTTTCCATATTATTAGCGTCCCCATTCAATTCGTCAACTAGTGGACGACCGTTCTCCTCGAAATCTATTTGACTAGCAAGGCCCCAATATACTTTGGTGCTGCTGCCCTCCATGTTGCCATTACTGTCCTTCCGTTCACACGAGTGGAAAAGAACTGGAAAGGATATCTCCGGGTGTAGGTACAGATAGGTCACCAGGGGGTCCTGCGTGAAATGCTTCCGGATGATGACGACATGAGGCAGTGGTCCGATATTTCTACTTTGTTCTGTCTATGCCCACAATCCAATTCGTTTACACTTCCCTTCTGTCAAAACGCACGGATATGTGCCGCCCATCCAACAAGTAGTTGTTAAATGTGTCGATCGCGGTCTGTGCACTTTCCCGCGAAGCAAACAAGACCGTGCCAACGCCCTTTGAACGACCTCCCGGCAGTTCCATCACGTCCGCCCTAAGGACACACGTACTTAACGTACTTATATGTCTTGAACACTACGGGGGAGATGACAGAAAATGATATATGCACAAATGCATCTCGTATTCACACATGAAGAAAACATCTAACAAGAGATGCATGGATTTACATCCTCCACTGGGAACACACTAAAGTGCACAGAAAAAGTCTACAAACGCGGCACGTTAACACCCCCTGCCGACTTCTACGCCCACACCGACAGTATGCACACCCCGATACCCCCCAATCCGCGCTTTAAATGCAAATGTGCACGGGCAATGAGACGTTTCAGGTGGGGCACAGTGGGCTCTTATGCTAAAAACGCGAAACAAAAGCCCCCAGTAAATACATCCCACAGACAATACACCGTCTCCTCACTTCTCTGCCTTCCGATATACTGTGTACTGCTCTAAACTGCTCCACAACTCCATCCGTCCATCTCTAATGCATGAGCCTATCCGTGGTAATCGGATTTGCGAAGTAACCGGAAGGACAATCCAAAGGAATAGCGACATAACGCCGCAGGCACGTGAATAAAGCTATCATAACGACAATCACATGACGAAGAACATACCTGATGACTTCACCGCATTCTCTGAATAGATCCTTAAGGTCGTGCCACGAAGTCTTCCACGGCAGATTGGATACGAACACCTGGCGTCCTCCACCACCGCCACTACCCCCCTGGTAGCTGCTTCCGGACGTCCCCTGTTGGTTGTTGCCCTGATAGCCGCCACCCTGGCCTCCTTGATAGCCACCGCGTCCCCCAGAGAAGCCACCGCGGCCGCGGCCCCGTCTGTACACACAGATGTGCTTTTGGGCATCCATATGCTGGTACTCTTGCGGGTATGCAAACAAGTGTAAATACACATGTTCATCGCTGTGTACACCCTCTCGTACATATCACAAAAGTGGAACAACTGTTTCGGTGATAAAAACGATAGGAAACGCCTCAACACACTGCTGGAACAGCACTGCAAGCCCTGTAACACTGCGATAAAAAATATCCCCCGCCCTGGTCCCTATACACATTAGTTCTACATTCCTGCTCACCCCCGGCCTCCGGAAAACTTGCCACCGCTTCCGCTTCCCTCCTCACGGTCTTCGCGCACAAATATGGGGCGCTCTGATTACATGCACAGCAGCAGAAAACATAGAGGAATACACGGACTGCTGCAGTGCAACTCGAAAGGAGAGGGGCTACTCAATAGAACTAAGGTGACGACAGATGCAACCGCAAACGTAAACCCTATAAGGGGAATACGAGGCGTCGAATCCAAACCTACCTAGAAGAACGGTGTCAGTGAGTTCCTTGATGGCCCGCTGCGCCGCTTCCTCATTCTTATATACGACGATACCGCAGCCTTTGCTCCTTCCCTGGTAATCCTCGAAGACGTCAGCGCGCACAACTTCGCCCGCCTGTTTCATGTGCTCCTGCAACTCTGCGGAACGAACTCCCCAAGCCAAATTGCCCACGTAGACGCTGCACCCGGTGGCGGGGGCCTCAGGTTGCTGCAGCAGCAAAAGTAGCACAATGGAGAACGCCAGCTAGCTTCCCAGAAGGTCGCTCTGTACTGTGCCAGGCAAAATGGACAACCCGTGCAGCTCAAACGACATGCATCAAATGTGGGTATGTCACGGCTCTCTCTCCCCCAGAAAATCAAAAAGAATGTTGCAACAAGTCACGCGCTGCTGCTGCATTCCGGCGCTCAACCGCCGTCGACAGAAACGCTGGACCCTTTCCCCGCTTCAGGATAACATCAAAAGTCCAGGAAAGACAACCTAACACACACATGAGAGAAGCTTGAGGTGTATTAGGACATACTTTTTCTTGTTCCTGGCCTTGGAGCGGCGGCCGGGCATCGTCCGCTGGGAGCTGCAAATCGCGCAATACAGGAGACCAGTAGAGAGCTCTGTTGGTGTATTCGTCTTATGCTAATGCTTAAAAGCACAAGTAGAGAAAATGCAAAGAGGCTGAAAAGCAAAAGCCAGCGATCCACGCCCGACTAAGCAGCACAACACAAGCAGCCCCCACAGTTGCAGCAGCACCTTCCCGAAGTGGGCCAGAGTACGCCAGCCAGCCTTCTGTACCCCATTCATGAGGCAAGCCGAGGTAATATCAGTTGCCAAATGTAAAAGACGAACGAAAAAAACACAGAAAGGCCTCCCTTATAAGAGGTAACACGCAGATACAGACAGCAGCGGCAGCGGAGTGGGGTGAAGACAGCAGCGTGATGCACATACTGCTGGCATTTTCTTCTGTTTCGAAGCTAGATTTGGTCAATTCGATCAATAGTCCTCCTCTTTTTGCCTTCACGACGCCTCAAAATGCACAATCAACGACCCCAGACCCATTTCATGCACCGTCAGCGCGGGGGAGAGCGAATCGAACTACACCGTGCTGCAGCCCTACGAGCCCTAGGAAGGCTGCCACGCGGGCCTCCAGCCCCAATTAGTTGAATTCCGCCCTTCATTAGGTTTAGTCAAATTCACAATGCTGACAAATTGTTTTTTCAAAAGTTAAACGATGACAGAGACACTCCTTCCATGCGTACTCCGGACTGAGAGCACATACCCAGGGAAATGATAGCAGATCACCTCCGGCACATGGCCGCAGATATTAGCGCCTTTAGACTAAATGCAGTTCAGTAGGGACCTCCACGGATTAATCAATTGAGCTCTTTCGACCTTTCAAGACAATGATCATCAATAAATAGCCGCCGCCGCCCAGACGCAACGAGCGCCCACTGTAACGAGAGTCCTCGCCCGTAACAGGGGAACGTCGTGAGCTCGACAAAAGTCAAAATACTTGAGCGAAGAGTCCCCACAAGCCAACACATCACTTCTCCTGTCTCTAGGAGACCTGGGCAGAGCGACACCCAGGCGTGGGGCTGACGCGGAGTGGAGGCAAGGGGACCATTCTGTGCGTTGCTGACAAAACTGTTTGAAGTGGGCTCATGCACCTTTCCCAGGCCCTAGTAGACAAACTGTCAGCAAGGAATGCTTCCAAACAGCTGCCTAGAGTGTTTGAGCATACGGCCAAGAAGGCTTGTTTGCGATTTAATGCTTGGCCCTCCCCCCTTTGAGTTGCAACAAGATACGCCGCCACACACGGCGGGCTGCATACTCTCACGCAGCATCAGGCACCTGAACTGCTGAGCTCAGGACGCCAAGGGATTGGAAAAGGATGTCATTAAGAGGGGGATCGAGAGACCAGGAAAGGAGCATTAGGTGTCTTTTTAGGTTCTTGAGGCTATTGGGCAGGAGATGTCTTTCTCTCTTGAGCATATCCGTAAAGCATTGTGTTATGTAGCCGAAAGCAGGAATAAAGCTCGAGTAGTGCAACACGAGGATGACGTACTTGTGGATGTTTGCTCAGATAAACAGCATAAGCGGCCACATTCGGAAGGCATTGAATTAACTTCGCCGGATATTTTTCCACTGCTTTGTGTTGCTGCACAGAAGCTAAGATCCACACACGGAACCTTGAACAGCCGAAGTGGATTCCATGAAACGCCAACCGTTTTCCGCTTGTGGGGACCGCTGTCTCCCACAAACAGTTGAAGCACATACCGAAGCTGAGCCAGTGCCCCCAAGCATCCATCCAGGGTGGACGCTAGCAAACAGCCCATCTGTACAGAGCATCACCACCCCTGGAATAGGCCCTAGAATTTTCAGGTATCCGCTTGCTTGACTTTTTTCTTTCCGGTTGATTCTCAGCATCATTAACGACGCTGGGAGCTCTCGTATCATGAAACACAGCCTGGATCTGCGAGAGGAAAGAACTTTTAGTAGGACTTCTAGCCTTAGACATTGTTTCACCCTTAAAGTGCGCAGTTCAACGATTTTAAGAAATGGCATTCGCAGCTAATATCTAGGAGCCAGAGGCCACTCGACAGGCCAAATTGATATGCAAGAACGAGACAGTTCCACACAGATCCTTGCAAAAGAATAAAAACAGTAAGTCATTCCGGTAGATGAGAGTCGTTGTTTTCGCAGAGCATTCTAAACCTCATTCCAGTGCACAGGTAAGACAGGAGTTACTGCGGGCTTGATCAACTGTATCCCCTTTCACCTGCAGTTCCTTCCACTGTTCTGTTTCACTGTTTCACTGGTCCAGTTGTTTGCTATCCTACCGTGCGAAGGGGCTCGTGGACTCAAGGGGCATTTGGATTTTTGTTGGGGGATCAAGCTACGGAGATGGCAGTTATGAGTTTTGTCATCTACTGGTTGTTACAGACTGCGTTTCACTCCCGGAATGCTCTGAGATTCCCGTTGCTCTCCTGCATTTTACACGTAGTTCGCGTTTCTTACAAGAGCTGCTCAGAATTTCGTTTTTTCAGTGCCTTGCCAGTTCCATACTAATACCTCATCAGCTGCTGATAGATTTTTATACTCTGCCTCGAATAATGTGGTATCCATGCAAAGAGGGAACATACACCCTGTTCTGAGTGCCTACCTTTCCGTGAGCCATTTTCTCTCTCCTTCCTATTATTGGGGTTGCGGTTGGTATTACCAGCCTTAATATCCATATGCTATATATGGCTAATTTTCAACATTTGTCCTTTTTTTTCATCTAGAATGTAACAATGGCTGTCCTGTTGCGGAAGTACTCTCCACCTAGCAATAACGGTTACCTTCTGCCCAGTAAGCAGCCATCATATAAACGAGTTACCGAGTCAGAGCTAAGCTGTCTTTCGCAGCTGTGGTAACGCGTGATGTGCCTCATTTGCCATCAAGGAAAACGTACAATGACAACTTGTATCTTGCACAGTACAGATAGAAAACTCGACATTAGCTGTACGGAGTGCAGCTACACTTGAGGACCTTTTACACTATGCTTGCTGACTCTACTGCATATTACGACTATCCCCACTGAGACCTGGGGCTCGCTTCACTGCTCGTGGTGGGCTCCCAGCGGAGATGCCCAGGAGTTTTACTAGATCGGAATGGGATTAGTTGTTTTGTTCTTGTTTTTCAAAAACCGATGGATGGGAGCCAATGTGTATCTCTGTTGATGGGTTCACCTAGTGCGCATCTACGAGGTTTCTCCGTTTATGCACCTACAGAAAGCTAGGGGTTTCAACCCCGGTAGGCACACCGGCGACGGGCATGGGGATCCCCACTGCTGGGGGAAGCATGGCTTGAGCTGCTGCTGCCGTTCCTGCTGGGGTCTGCTGGTTTATGCTTCGAGGCCTTGAAAACGGCGGGGGTCTCATTGGGCTCTTTCCTTCTGCCTGGTCTTTCCGTGCTTTTGTCCCAAGCAAATCGGGAACACCGGCATGGGCACTGATACTGAAATAAACTCAAATCAATATTAATCCAGCTTTGTTTAAGTCTTATTGAGTTGCTGCTGTTGTAGTTTTGTTGGGAATCGTGGTCCCCTCTGTGTGACTGTGGTGGCATCTTATGACTGCGTTAGCAGCGTCGGTGCACATACATCTGGTTTATTATGTCCTCCAGCCCAGCTCCGTACTGCTCGGGATATATACGTGTGCATTTTTCTACTGTGCTTTTCAAAACTAAATAGACGATGAATCCAACTAACGGAGAGTAGCAGCTTTCGCGCCTCGTCCGGTGGTAGTTTCGGCGGTGGGGGTCGAGACTTCCCTGAACAGAACAACAACGTGAACGACCATCTTAGCTTTCTTTTTGCTTATTTATATTTGTTATCCTTGGGAAGAAGTAGAGCAACAAGGGAAAAAGACACGAAAGTGCAGCAGCGGCGCGTCAGCGCCTTAGGCGAACCCTCACCGGCTGCCTCTTGAATCGCCTGCTCCAAATCTGCGGTGTAAAAGGATAAATTTGGCATGTAGAGGTTATTTCGTTTACTACAGATAGTCTTAATTACACGAAAATAGAAATATCAATTCAAGCAGCACGCATGACAAGAAAAAGAATTGAAAGGCGAGCAGAAGTCAAACAGAAACCGTACTGTGCTGCGCCTCCTCCTTTTCATCTATCTGTTCTTCTCTTTGGACTTCTTCTTCTTCGCCCGCCTGCCGTTTCCAAACAACAAATGCACAACTGTAAAATACTTGCAGCAATAGCGAAGCCCTACTTCCGTGTCTGCCTCCACTTGAGCCTCATCTTCTTCGGCAGTGAAGTCCTCTTCGTCTGCAACATATCCTTTCTTTGCGGCTCACTCCTTTTGCGCAACTCACACTCCATCTTACCTTGCTGCGCTAATCGAGGCTCTTCTAGCCTCTGCTGCTGCTGCTTCTGCGGCTGCTGCATGCGCGTCGATTGTATGCTTTTGTTTCCTTCAGGGAAATAAACAGAACAACAACACGAGCCATTCATAATGAGACTAAAATGAAGATGCCAAAGGCTAGAAAATAAAGATACCTGTGTTCAATCTCGTTCCTCCCCCATTTTGTCCCTTCTATATATAGGTGTATGTGCTGAATCCTTGCAGTTATAACACTGCCTGCGACTTACCCGTCGGTGATGCACTGTACCAGTAGCCACCTCGTCTGCATGTCATATATAGTTCACAGATAATCATATGTAGTGTTTACATCATCATCTACGCGTATAGATAGGCGTACATATGTACACATATACAAATAGTTGCCACATAAATATTAAAGTACGGATGTTTACATGTGTACACGTGTATATATACACATATGGCCAATAAGGACAGGCGAATCTGGGAAGGTTGGTGCATCTGCATTGTTGTCCATACCCTCGATGAGCTGGTCGTGTTTTTCTATTTCATAACCAACGCCACTTGAGGGAAGCATCGAAGGGTCTTCGAGTTCTCCATCGGCGTCTTGGGGCTCAAGGTGAGGGTCAAATAGGCTGTGTGCAACGACTGCGTCTTCAGGGTCCTGCATATCAGATGCGCGTCTTGCTAGTAAAAACATTGAAAAGAGATTCAACTTTAACAGCAGTTTACCATGTCAGGAATGTCGTAGGGGGGCATTCGTGCGCCAGCTGAGATATGACGTGCGTGAAGAACAGTCAACCAACAGCATGCAGTTTAGATTGTGTTGTTACACGAACCCGCCGTAGCTCCTTCGCTCTCTGCTGCTTTCACCTGCTCTTCATCTGCTCAAGCGGTCCATAATATATTTGAAGGCTCCCCGACGTAATTGTTGAACTCACCGTCCGCGAAGGGATGCAGACAGCGTGCGTTTCCTCTATTGTTCAGCTTTGAACTGTCTGCGGTTGAGGGCAGAAAGCAAGCACTAAGCAATGCAAAAGTCAGATACATTGTTGACTGGTGGATACTTTAATTCCTTAGATGCACATTTGGAACATAAAACGCATACAAAACTTCGTATTTCCTCAAACCCAATTGGAGAAGCATTTGGGGTGTACGCCCAGGTTCCGTGCACACAGAGGCGATGAGGTCGTCTTCAGCAGCTTTCAATGCCATTTTATTGCCTAATATTTTTACTGCATATGATTGTACATTATAATACGTTTGTTGTTACAGAGAACCATGAGGAGGTGGCCTCGCCGCATCGCAGCACATTCTTGTCTATGTTTAACTTAGAGTTGGGGGAAACTGGGCAGACACTGATCGTCAAGCCTAAACCCTGAAAAGTACTTTTCTCAGCGTGCGCTGCCGGCGAAATTTGGACTTCAGTCCAAACATGCAGCCTCATCAGCACCTCGCCCACAGGGCAGCATCAACGGAGGAAATGTCCCGTTTTAGACCTGAGGCTAAATCCGCGTTGCTTACACTGGACGCAAGCTTGCAATCGATGTAGTTTCCTCACTTGTTGGCGAGACAGACTTGAGGGATTTTCATGCTCAATTGGAAGTGCTCCAAAGACGCCCTTAGCTAACTGCATGCAGCGAGAAAGGAACCGACACTATAAAATTGGAGGTTGTGGAGAGCCAGCAACAGAAGCAACTGCTGCGATTAAATATTCTGCAAAAGATTCTGTTCCAGGACAGCGTCATGAACTGATGAATTTGTAGATGAAACTGGTGCAGGGTGCACAGTGGTCACTGTCCAAGCAGAGGGGCAGCCGCCAATACAGCTACCTGGGAGGCAAGTATGAAGCGAATATGCCACGGAATAACCAGAAGGTGAAATCAACATGCTGCATTCGACAGAATTAACGGGTTCACCTTGGTCGACTTCGTTTGTGTCCAAGGACCCCTACTGATGTTCAACCGGAAAGAGCACAAATGGCTCAGCTATACATTAGTAAATGAATCTCTATCCTAAACGGGGACATCCGTAGGAAGAGGTTCAACAAAACAGTAACAGCTCTCTAGCGTTTCTGTTTAGAAGGAAATGATATTCGTCGCGTGCTACGCGCTCTTTCCCGTGCACGACTTCTCCCTGACAAATCTGGGCTGCATTATGGAGTGCCTGAAGTCCTATATTCACTTAGACTCCCGTTTACCGATCACTACGCATGTGCTCGATATGACTATTGCTGCTGACGACTCTTATCAGCCTTAATAGCGGGCTCCCGTTCCATTTTGAACTCGTGCTGTTGGATGTGCAGAAACACTAGCTGCTGATTCCTCCTTTGTCAACAGACAAGCCCAATATATTTCTGCTCTAGTGAAGGAATAGTGCTCTGACCCTCTTGAAGCATCGCAAACAGTGCCTGTTGCCAAGAGCAGAAAAATTGCATGGAAGCGCGCACAGCGGATGACGTCTCCGTGCGTGGATTTCGCTCGTGTGTTCCCTGTGTTTCTCTCCATACTATCTACAAGAAATGAATAACTGCATTTATGGAAGAAATTCAAACGTCTCTGATTCGTCAGTGTACAGGGTAAGCACGCTTTCGCCTGCTTCGATCTCGTGCCGCCGCGGGCGCTGAAGCTCCGGCCACCGAATTGCCCAATGCAGCAGAGGACATCTAATTACATGGCGAAGAAAGCCAAACTATTATTCAACTAAAAAGAATAAGGTTTTATTCAGCATGCAGGCGGATGGTAGCTGCCCACTTGTGTGCCTTCTCTGAACTCAGCCCGTACGAAAACAGCAGCTGCCTTCAGGCGTAGCAACATGATGGAATTTCATTGCCGTAGTCTCTCAACTAGGCTTTGTCTTGTGAATCATTTACGAATTAATTGAAAATGTACTAATTGTTTTAAAGGAAACGGAAATAACAGGGTCTGCAGGCGGCGGAGGAACCTGTTTCTGCATGAGCGGCGGCGGCTGCTAATAACTGCAGCAACAGCAGCAGCCGCCTCCGCCCCCCGTCGTCTTGTTGTCTCTCCGACACGTATGGACACGTCGGAACAATATTGCAGATGTCTCTCTGAAAAGGAAGCAATATACCTTTTCTTAATCTTCAGATCATTCTTTCTGTGCGGTGTTGCGTCGCCGCGGCGATTCCCGTCCAGCAGGGTAGCCCGCGGGGAGATTGGCCGCGGTGCTTTGCCCTTTATTTGGTGTAATTTTCTGCACGTTTTGTTTCCTAAGGAAGGAAAATGGCGAAAGGCAGTAAGTGAAGCTTACCTTGACACAGACAAACCTTCATTTTATTGCAGGGGCAAACTCCGCAGTCTCAGACGTCCTGAGCCCTAAGCTGCTTCTTGAACAACTCACAGCTTTCTCTTCCTCGCCTTTTGTAGATGTATATTTTGTATAGTTTCAATAAACAACTTCTCCAACTTTACCGCGAAAATCATTTTGCTTCCCCTCTCTTTTGCCCCGCCTCCCTGCAATGCACCGCCGCTGCCGACGGCAGTGCTGCAGCGCCACCGATTTTGTTGGTTTTTATCCCTTTGATTGATTATCGTCTTATGTCTTCAATTGCATGCATTTCCAGCTTTAGTGGAGCATTATGGTGCCCTTGCATCGTTCATATGTTCCTCAACTTTCCTGCTGTGGGCTGGCGAAGGTTAAGCGAGAGCTGCAGCATGTGCATGCATTATAAGACTGGTTTGTAGTTAGTTGCATCATTGAACCTGATTGTCAGGACTAAAAGTTTCTTTGTTGCTGCTGCAATCCTTCCCCTTAAATTGCCATTTGCAAGCGCTACATGCAAATGATGTACTGATGGTGCATGCACAGATATCTCTCTTCTCCTTATTGCCATTCATTTTGTCTCTTCTGCCTATGGGATGCTGTCTCCGTATGTATTATTTTCTAATCCGTTATTTGTGTGTATTCTTTTTCTTTGTCTATTGGTTGTGTATGGTGTCTTTATATCAAGCCTCATGACTCATCACTCAATTTATGGTGTCTACTCCTTCATTGTGTGTCTAATCTATAATATTTTGAATATATTTTGTTGTATTTTGTTTATTCATTTATATGTTTTTTTTCGTTGTTTTTTTTCCTGCAGTTCGTTTCTTATCGCTGGTGAAGCCAGCGATGTGCATCTTGCCGGAGGTGCATGCACCCGAGCGTCGTGTTCCTTTTCGTGAGAAAGTCTTATGGACATTAATTTCTCTTGCAGTATTCTTGGTATGTTGCCAGATACCTCTTTATGGTATTCGTACAAGTCGTAGTGCTGATCCTTTTTATTGGATGCGTGTTATATTAGCATCTAATAGAGGTACTCTTATGGAGTTAGGCATTACTCCTATTGTTACGAGTGGTATGGTTATGCAACTTCTTGCTGGATCCAAGATTATTCAAGTTGATCAAAGTCTTAAGGAAGACAGAGCTCTCTTCCAAGGAGCACAAAAACGTAAGTAAACAGTACAGGATTGACGTATATCCTCGATCTTTGGCTGTTTTTTTGCTATTTCTTTGTTTTTATCTCCCTTTAAGGGTTATTTTCATGCTTTTTTCGTATAGAAAAGGAAGATGGGGTGTATTGAGGATTTTATTTCTCTTTTCTTTCTTTTATGCATGCAGTGTTGGCACTGTTGATTACCACTGGTGAGGCTGTTGCATACGTCATCAGCGGCATGTATGGACCCGTCTCGGAGATTGGAGCAGGTAATTAGAGGAAAAGAACAAAAAATAAATAATAAATATATAAATACATATATAAATATTAAGAAATTAGGAATTGTTGTCGCGCACAATGAATTAGATGCGTATTATTATGCAGGTTTCCTTCCTTGTTTGTTTGTGTATGTGCAGGCAGCGCATTATTGATTATTCTTCAGCTTTTCTTCGCGGGTGTTGTTGTTATTATATTAGATGAACTTTTACAAAAAGGTTATGGTTTAGGTAGTGGTATTTCTTTGTTTATTGCAACAAATATCTGCGAGACTATTGTATGGAAGGTAATTTATCTCCCTCGTGTTCGTCTTCCCCTTCGTCTTTCTCTTCCCCCTCTCTGTTGTTCCTTTGTTCACGTTTAGTCTTTATTAATTGATAACTATACAGATTTTATAAATTATTTGCGTAATAATAATAAATAATAATAAATACGGATCCCTTTGTTAGGCGGTGTAACAGTAGCAGTCTTATTCATAGTATTAGATGAGTAGTTGTATTGATGACAATTTTCCTTATTGTATTTTTCCCCCCCCCCG